TCAGTGTTAGGACTGCCCCACAAACAGCAATGTGGCAAGAATCAGATACTGTATTTTTAGTTTTGACGATTAAGAGGTAAGTACAAGCCTGGACATTGGGGAGAACTCCCTTCTCTTTTTTGAAGTCCAGCCACATGCAGCTGAGGCAGCTGGCAAGGCTTTAACTCAGCAATGTCCCTCAGAAAGTCAGCACCTTTGAAGATGCAGAATGCTTTCCATTGTGGGATTTGAGCTTCTGTAATTCTTCTTCTTGGGCAGGTCTTTCGGGATCAAGAATGACTTCTTTCCCACTCTCAAGGTATGTTTGCGGAGGTGCCTATACAGACAAATACTGGATCCACACATACTGCCAAAGGTGGGGTAGTTAGTGCTTACTGAAGCAGGTCATAACATCACATGATCATAGAGTGAAAAGAAAGGGAATTAGGAGGATGTTGACACTGAATAGCGACATGAACTCAAAATTAGGCCATAAACGCAGTTTATTCTAAGTGATTATATGTTCAATTAGGTCATAGTTGCTTTCTTAAGCACTTTGCAGGTTCCTTATGTTATGATAAGATGGAAACTGAATCATTTTCTGGTTATTCAGTGATTCAGCTATGTGAGAAACAGCACAGAATAAGTATGAAAGGAGTGACAGCAATCAAAGGCACGGCCCTCTCAAGTACATTGGATGAGGACTAGTTCTATGCCTTGATTGGGTGAAAGTTTATTACTACGTGTGGGAGTGTGTATTCAAGTTCTAGTGAAACCAGAATGTGTGTGGAAGGTAATCTACGCTTCAATCATGCCAGCTTTCCTGGCTGACTTGAGCATTAACTCTTGCTTGGCTCCCAGTTTCCACTTCTAGTCAGGCAATCTCAGCAAAGACAAAGGCAAAATAAATTGTGTATTAGCAGATGAAATAAAAGCCACACATTCTGGAACAACCAAGAGGCAGCTTCTCCAGGTTGACAACTTCTCAATGGAACTGGGAGCAGTTAGAAATGTAAATCATTTGAGACAAGTGAAAGAAGGTGGGGAGAAAAATAAAATTGATCACCTATGATACTGTGGAAGACAGAGGACATAAAGTGAGAAAAGAGTTGGGATCACACGGCCAATGAAGTGGTGATGGGATAGGTAACAGAAGTTATATCTTGAGGAGGTTTGAATGACAGATTCATGAACAGCTGCCTGTGGAGTGCAGAAACAAGAAAGTTGAGTTAGTACCAAGCTCTGGAAAGAGAAAGGAAACAAAATGGAGAGGGACTGTATGATTTGAAGTTATTGGAATCTACATAGAGACCAAAAGGCTGTAAAGTACGTGTTGAATCGAAACACCAATGATGAAAAAGTGATGGCCCCTCTCTTTCTCTGGTGGCTTCAGTGGTTTTCGGTGGGTTTGGATCTTACGTGTTCTGGTCACTATCCAACATCACGTGATCCCACCTGCACTCATTGACACTAAATATTAAACTCATTAATGCAGAACATAGAGTGCCTGCCAGGGCAATTAGGGAAACGAAAAGTACAAGTGGACAACAAAAGGATTGGCTGAGGTGGAGAGATAATTAGAGTCATAGAGTTATACAGTATGGAAACAAACCCTTTGGTCCAACTCATCCTTGCCGACCAGATATCCTAAACTGATCTAGTCTTATTTGCCAACATTTGGCCCACATCCCTGTAAACCCTTCCTATTCATGTGACTATTCAAGGTGCCAGTTAAATGTTGTAATTATACCTGCCTCCACCTCTTCCTCTGGCAGCTCATTCCAAACATGCAAAACCTTAAGTGTTTCTTAACTAAAAGTATGAATCCTAGTCTATTGTGCTGAAGTGGAGGGTCAATCAAAGGTGTGTCCTCATAAAGCAGGTTAGATGAGGGCATCAGTTTCTTTGGCACCTTCATCTGGGCAAAGTTTGCTTATCGCAACATAAAATATCAACAGCATCAGCAATCTTCAACATTTAAAAACGTACGTCAGTCAGGAGAAGAAAAAAAGTTTCTTAATAAAAACGGAAAATTGCTATAAGTACTAATCAAATCAGGTGTGACCTGGGTAGAGCACGATCAAAATAATGTTTTAGATCAATGAGTTTTTGTTTGTTGAATAGACTGCTGGTTTTACTGGAGCCAGTTCATACAGGACAGTAAAGCAAAGAAAGGGCAAGAGGTGGGTGGGTTTTGGAGCAGGAGGGGTAAAGAAAAGAACAAAAGGGGATGCCTATGATGGGATGGAAGTGAGGAGTGGTTAAATGGGAAAAGGCAGAGCAATGCAAGTCAAAAAGAATTTGGTGATGGCCCAAATGGAGAAGCAAAAGATGGGTCTGATGGAGCCGTAATTGTCAACAGCAGAATTTATGTTTTGAAAATGGGAGCAGGAATTCTGAAGCTGAATTACTTTCTGAAAAGGGAGAATGTAGGAAGTTAAATGGAGAAGGGCTGGTGGGTAAGGACACCAGCTCATTGCTCATGCATAGGGCCATCAGATATAATGGGCTGAATGGCCTCTTTCTGTGCTGTAGCAATTCTATGATTCTGTGATTGTTGAATATTATGTTCAGTTGAGAAGGCTGTAAAGTGCCTCCTTGAAAAGTAAATTGCTTGTTTTATGTTCCATTAGCTTCTTTCTGTCACTTTTCCTGCCTCTCAAACCAACTGTCGGTTCCTGTGAGGACAGAACAGATTCTTGCCTCTACCACAAGATGGAGCTCTTTATGACAAACTATTGCATTTCCTGTCACAGGCTTGGGACTTGCCAAAATGGTCCACTGTCAAGGAGGCACTTTGCTGAAAGGGAATTGTTGTTGCAACGTGGAGAAATGTAACAATAGATTGAGCGCAGCAAGATCACACAATCGACATTAAGATTAATGGCCAATTAAGTAACTACTGATGTCAGTTTGGGAATAAATACACATCAGGTCAAAGGAGAATTTTCTGCTTCACTTAGAGTCATAGAGATTTTCAGCACAGAAACGGACCCTTCAGCCCAACTCATCCATGCTGACTAGATATCCTAAATTAATCTAGTCCCACTTGCCAGCATTTGGTCCATATCCCTCTAAACCTTCCTGTTCATATACCCATCCAGATGCCTTTTGAATGTTGTAATTGTACCAGCCTCCACCACTTCCTCTGGCAGCTCGCTCCATACACATACCACCCTCTGCGTGAAAAAGTTGCCCCTTAGGTCCCTTTTAAATCTTTCCCCTCTCACCTTAAAACTACGCTGTCTGGTTTTAGACTCGCCTCAGAAGTGCAAACGTCTTATTGTTGAACATCTTATTCCAAAAACAACATCTGTGACAATAGGCACTCACCTCACTGAAGCCTCAGTTTGGGACTTGAACTCAATTTCGAGGTCAACAGCTACCAATGAAGCAATCTGATCCTTAAACAATTAAAATAAAACCAAGAACTGCGGACACTGGAAATCTGAAACAAAAACAGAAATTGATGGAGAATTTCTGTTTTTGCCTTAAAGGATGAATGTTTTCTGAAGGTAGAGGTTCAAAAACAGAGCAGGTGCTAATTTCCCTGGATTTAGGCCACAATGAGTCCATAAACCTTACTTTTGATTCAAAATGAGAGACAGGATAGGCCATGCTGAATCTTTGGAAGTCGCACATTTCTCAAGCTTGTGACAAGGCCATCTCTGAGAGCAAAAGAACAAAATGCCATCAACACAGACCATTTAAAATATTCTGACACCAGGTCTCCTTTGGCTTGGAGTCAAAGGAAAAGAGCGGCAGGGTGGCTTAGCAGTTTGCACTTCTGTCTCACAGTGCCAGGGACCTGGGTTTGATTCCAGTCTTGGGTGACTGTCTGTGTTGCCAGTGTCTGTGTGGGTATCCTCTGAGTGCTCTGATGTGCAGGTTGGGTGGATCAGCAATAGTAAATTGCCTCGTTGTGTCCAGGGATGTGCAGACTGGGTGGATTAGCCATCGGAATCGTGAGGGTGGTGGGTGGCAGACTGCGTCTTGGTGGGATGCTCTTCAGAAAGTTGGTGCAGACTCGATGGGCCGTAAGGACTCTTTCTGCATGTAAGGATTTTATGAATAAGTGAAAAACTGACTTTACACCATGAATTTCATGACTTCAGGCTATCCAGTGCTCCTTACAGTCAATAAAGTCCATTGGAAGTATAGTGGCTGTTATAATGTAGGAAGCACAGCAGCTAATGTATGTACAGTAAAATCACACAAAGAGCCATGTAATGTTCTCCTGATGTGGGTTCTGGGATCAAGGTGTTGCGGGGGTGCACTACCCTGCTCTTCTCCAATTATAGAGCTGTGGAATCTTTGACAGAGACTTGTTTTAACATTTCCTGCACAAAATCAGCATGCACTAGAGTCTCTGACTCAAGAATTGGAAATGGGGCTTAAAACCACAACTTTCTGATGCAGAAACAGGAGGGGGCTCATCACTGAGCCAGGACATGGGGAGAGGGCAAACAAGTACTAAGTGAATGGCAAACATCTTTCAATTGTGATAACCGAGGCTGAGTAGACTGTGTGGCGTGGAGATATATCATCATGATTCATCCTGATTGTGTAATATGTCAGTGAAAGATCAGACACCTTGAATTTAATGTTCAATGTCCAGGCGTGGTGTTGTGGATCCAGGGCAGCTCCTCATACAAACAGACACACACACACACACACACACACACACACGCACACACGGGATCTTTGAGCCACTTCGGAATAGCTGAGGTGGGGAAGCTTTTGCTGCAGGGAGGAGAACACCCTCAGCTATCAGACAAGAACACCACCCCTGGTATTTGATGATAAGTTTCTCAAGTGTATAAGAGATATGGGGACAGTGAAGAAAGAATAAAAACTGAGGTGGATGATCAGCCATGTTCTCACTGAATGACAGAGCAGGCTCAAGTGGGTGCATGGCCTACTCCTGCCCCTAATTCTTATGTTCCTAGTTATTTATTTCATCCTTTTAGGAACCCAGTTAATGCAGCCAAAACATTGCAGGAAATCAGCCAAGGGAAATTTCTATCCAAATCCTATATATTGCTTCCACTGTTTCAAGTCATCGGAGCATTTATAACATTACAGCAGTTTGAAGCCACTGTCAAACACTTGATGATCAGTAGCTTTGCCACTTGGTTGTAGTTCTAATTGGCGTCTCTTGGACCTGTCAGTCCTTTCCCACTCTCTCTCTCTGCTCCTCCCACACAGAAATCCATCCTTTAGGACGTGCAGGGAGAGCTGCCGACAGTATCACTTCCTTTGTGCCTTTGCTGGTGAGAGATGGTCGAGGTCAGAACCTTTCACTCAGGGGCCTACCTTCCTTTTTGTTGTTACGGCCTTTTAAGCTGGTGACCCTGACGGTTCTGAAGGTCAACAAGGGAGACAGGTGCTGCGGGGACAGCAGTCAGCATTTGTGGGAAGTTGCTGAGGAATTTTTCACAGACTCAATGGTGAGTCCCGGCTTCCAAGTGGTGGGATTCGTCACTTGCGTGCTTGGGTGGTTCATGGCCTGCGTTACTATGGTGATCCCGCAGTGGAAAATCCGCAGCCTTGACGGCAGTACGATTCTGACAGTGGAGGAGGGCTGGGAAGGGATCTGGATGAGCTGCATCAACGATAGTGGGGGTCTCCTGAGCTGCGATGTATATGATTCACTCCTGGCGCTGCCATCCGACCTCCAGGCAGCTCGGGCCCTCATGTGCCTGGCCGTGGCACTGGGCGTTTTAGCCATGGCGGTGTCAAGTGGCGGCTTGAAGTGCACCAAGTTTGCAAGGGGTGAGGAGAGGCTCAAAGTCTCGCTGACTGTAGCCGGAGGGACTTTATTTATCATGGCAGGAACGTGTGTCCTGATTCCCGTCTCCTGGACTGCTGCCAATATCGTGGCTGACTTCTACAATCCGCTGGTGCCCGTGTCCATGAAGACGGATCTGGGAGATGCTCTGTTCCTGGGCTGGGGCTCAGCCTGTGTCCTTGTCCTCGGGGGGAGCATCCTGTGCTGCCCATGTCCAGCAGCCAGTGAGCACAGCGAATGGTATATGAGGAATCGTGCTCACTATCAGCCTGCAGTCCCTGCAAACAGGTAACGGTCGCAGACAAAATCCTCAACTCTGTCCTTTCTCACAGCTCGGCTCAAATATCCCAACACTCACCCGGTCAGCGTCCCACCCGCCAACCTCCTTAAACATCAACTCATCCAAATTTCTGCTGCCTCACACCAAATCCCATTCACCCAATGCCCATACTTAATGACTTCCATATTGACACCCACTCCTGCAACACACTCCATTTTAACATCCTTGCTCCAAGGCCTCACCCTGTCCAGAATCAACTTGCTTCGTTAGAGATGTTGTTTAAAACAAGTTGTTGTTGTTGCTGCTATGGAAGGGTCACCTGATTTGGTAGGGCATGAGCACCATGGCGGTAACATCACAGTTTGTTTTAAATGGAGAGCACCAAATATTTTAGAGTGAGAATTATACTGGCCAACAATATCACAGGCGTCTTCGATGACTGGGGCTGAAGTGAATCAAACTCAAGTTGAAAAAGCGCCCTTGCAATTTCAATAATGGAACAAAAACACTTCAGAGTGAGTTACAGGCTGAAATTTAATTGAGAGGCTCAGGGAGTTTATATTGAATAACCAAATCCAGGGAATGAATTTTGGGCTGGAGATGAATTGAGGAATTCAAGAAGATTGTGAACTGTAGAATAACAGATATCCAGGAATGAATTACAGACCAGAATCTAGACAAGGGATGTAGGAGTTTATGGAGAGTATCAGATATCTGGGAATGAGTTATAGAATGGAGAAAATTAGCAGCGTGAATCCTGGCTGAATTTTGTTCTTTTGGCCTCTAGCCCAGGAACATCATATCTTCTTCGTAGCTCCCCTCAGAATATCTCAAATATGGTGAGCTACCTCAGCTCAGTCTAGAGGAATTAAATCTAGGACTCTCAGACTCAGTTAAGCTCAGTGAGGCAGCAGGAGTCATAGAGTCATACAGCTGTACAGCACAGAAACAGACCCTTTGGTCCAAATCGTCCATGTCGACCAGATATCCTAAATTAATCTAGTCCCATTTGCCAGCATTTGGCCCATATCCCTCAAAGCCTTCCCATTCATATACCCATCCAGATGCCTTTTAAATGTTGTAATTGTACCTGCCTCCACCACTTTCTCTGGCAGTTCATTCCATACACACATCATCATTTGTGTGAAAAAGTGGCTCCTTAGGTTGTGGGGAGTGATGTTTGCTGCTGTTTGTGGAATCTAGGAACTTCGGTTGCCAATTCTGCCTATATTTACATTACATTAGGTAACCTTCATGTTGCTTTGAGCAAAAATGAAAGACGTCAATTACCAACATCAGAACTGTGCCTGACATGAAGTTTGCTGATTATGAACTGAATATTTTAACAGGATTCTGTCGAAATTTCTGGAAAGTCATACCATCATCATTCACAGACTGAAATAACCTTTTCATTTGGCAATGATGATTAGAAACACCATTGAGTATTTATAAAGGAATGACTGTATAGTGTGGAGCAAGGTCAGATGTAGCAGTTACGAATGCTGTAACTGATCCCTGTGAAATGAGCAGTCTCTTAAACCATCATTCATTAATAGAGACATCTCATGTTTCACCCAGAGAAATGTTGTGCTTGATTGCAGGATCACCTCAGAAAGTCTGGCTTAGTAAATTAATGATGTAAGTGCTGTGGTCCGACACTGATGTGTCATCCATAGGAATATGCATCATGATACTCCAATACAGTACTGGGGAGTGCTGAACCATCAAAGGTGCCATCTTTCAAGGTCCTGCCTGCCCTTTCAGATGGGCTTAAAAAATTTCATTGTACTACTTCAGTGAAGTTACCCTCTGTCTCCTGACCAAAGTTTATTCCTCAATTCACACCACAAAAAACAGATTACCTGCTCATTAGCACATCGCTACATGTAGGAGCCTGCTGCGTGCAAATTAGTTGCCTTGTTTTCTACATTACAATCGTGTCTGTGCTTCAAAATTGCTCTATTAGCTGTAAAGAGCTTCACGATGCTTGGCGGTCAGGTAATGTCCTATAAAGATGAAAGTCTTTCTTTTGCATTGGGCTAGATACATATATTTGTGTGTGTTTTTTGTATCCATGATTGTATGCACACATCCTAATTTGCGCTCATTCTCTTCTGTAACTCCATGTTTTCTGACTTCTACTTAAGTAAAGCCTCCATTCAGAAATTCTTACCCCTCCAGGATTTCACCCCTTCCTATCTTTGTGATTTTCTCTACTGCTACAACTATCCAGGAATCCAGAATTTGTCCAACTTGCAAACACCCAATTTTTGCTCATTCTGTCAATGGCCACTATGCCCTCAGCTGCCTAGCTCCCAACTTTGGAATTCACTCACAAACCCTCCCAAACTTTTTACTTCTCTCTTCCTTTAAACCTCCCTATTTGACCAACCTTTGGTCACTTTACCAAATATATCGTTACGTAGTTTAGAGTGAAATTGGATTAGATAGTGCTCCTGTTAAGTGGTGTGGGACATTTTGTTACACTAAAGGTGCACACGCAGCTGTGTATACATATTTGGAAATAAGCTAGTATTTTCTATGAGAAGTTTGTTTCAATAATTTCACATGATAACACCAAACTTTTATTTGTAAATCCCAGGATCAACATCTGAATCTGCTGTTTACCATTTCTACAATATGGACCAGGAGCAACATTCAGAATTCCTGCAACATTGTCATCCCAGACAGCGATGAAGATTAAAGACAAGTCATCAAACTATATTAAATTGTGAAATAAAGTGCCAGCAACAAACCAGAATTTGTTGTCCTGGTGTTCTCCTTTCCATGGCAATTAACAAAATCAGAGAGACAACCACAGACACAATTCTACAAGTCTCCTGCTACGACAACAGAACGCTAGAACAGCAAAATTGTACAGCTGAGAAAGATGCCATTCAGGCCATCATGTCTGCACGGTTGCAGGAAAGTAGAGACATAGGGTCATTGAGCTGTACAGCACGAAAACAGACCCTTCAGTCTAACTCATCCATGCTGACCAGATATCCTAGATAAATTTAGTCCCATTTGCCAGCATTTGGCCCATATTCCTCTAAACCCTTCCTATTTATGTACCCATCCAGATGCCTTTTAACTGTTGTAATTGTACCAGCCTCCGCCACTTCCTCTGGCAGCTCTCTCCATACACGCACCACCCTCTGTGTGAAAAAGTTGCCCCTTAGGTCACTTTTAAATCTTTCCCCTCTCATCTTAAACCTATGCCCTCAAGTTTTTGACTCCCCCACCATGGGGAAAGACCTTGCCTAATTACCCTATCCATGTCCCTCATGATTTTATAAACCTCCACAAGGTCACCCCTCAGCCTCTGACGCTCCAGGGATAATAGCTCCAGCCTACTCAGCCCATCCCCATAGCTCAAACTTTCCAACCCTGCCAACATCCTTGTAAATATGTTCTTAACCCTTTCAAGTTTCACAACATTCTTCTATAGCAGTGTAACCAGAATTGCACACAGTATGCCAAAAGTGGTCTAACCAATATCCTGTTCAGCTGCAACATGACTTCCCAACTCCTATACTTAGTGCACTGTCCAATAAAGACAAGCATACCAAATGCCATCTTCACTATCCTATCTACTTGCCACTCCACTTTCAAGGAACTATGAACCTACACTCCGAGAACTCTTTGTTCAGCAACACTGCCCAGGACCTTACCATTAAGTGCATGATTCCTGCCCCAATTGGCCTTTCCAAAATGTAGCACCTCACATTTATGTAAATTAAACTCCATCTGCTACTCCTTGACCCATTGGCCCATCTAATCAAGATCCTGTTGTATTCTGAGGTAACTTTCTTCGCTGTCCACTACACCTCCAATTTTATTGGCGCTGTCTTGTGCTCCCATGAGGATCTTGAACAGTTCATCAACTTTACTGACACCTATCACTCCAGCCTCAAATTGGACCATCTCCAATATCTCCCTCTCCTTCCTGGACTGCTCTGTCTTCATCTCTGGTGACTGGCTCGAAACTGACATCTATTTCAAGCCCACCAACTCCCACAGCTACCCCTAGACTAGACCTCCTCTCACCCACCTTCCTGCAAGAATGCAATCACCTACTCCCAATTCCTCCATCTCCGCTGCTTCTGCTCCCAAGAGGGGGCGCTGCACTCCCGAACATCCCAGATGTCCTCCTATTTCAAGGACCATTACTTTGTCCCTCTAGTGATCGAAAATGCCTTTAAAAATATTTCTTGCATTTCCTGCACTTCTGCCCTCACATCCCCTACCCCCAACAAAAATAAAGACAGAATCCCCCTTGTCCTCACATATCACCCCACCAACCTCCGCATTCAATGTACCATTCTCTGCCACTTCTGCCACCTACAAAACGACTCCACAACCAAAGATATATTTCCCTCCCCACCCTATCTGCCTTTCATAGGGACCACTCACTCTGCGACTCCCTCATCTGCTCCACGCTCCCCACTAGACCCACCAGCTCCGGCACCTTTCCCTGCAACCGCAGAAAGTGCTACACCTGCCCCAGACCTCCCCCCTCACTTCCATTCAAGGCCTAAAGCAAACCATCCACATTAGACAGAGGTTCACCTGCACATCCATCAACTTGGTCTACTGTATCTGCTGTTCCCGATGTGGCCTCATCTACATCAGTGAGACCAAGCATAGACTCAGAGACCGTTTTGTAGAGCATCTGCGCTCTGTACGTGACAAACGACAACACCTTCCAGTCGTGAACCATTTCAACTCCCCCTCCCACTCCTTGGGTGACATGTCCATCCTGGGCCTCCTCCAGTGTCACAATGATGCCACCCGCAAACTGGAGGAGCAGCACCTTATATTCCGCCTTGGGAGCCTACAGCCTGTGTCCAACACTCCCTCTCATCCTCACCTCCTTGACCTGACACAACCTGTCTATCTTCTCTCCCACCTATCTGCCCCTGCCATCCCAATCCCCACCACTCCCTACCTGCACTCGCCTATCGCCATCCCACCTACCTTCCCCAGCCCCACCCCTCCTCTCTATTTATTTCCCAGCTCCCTTCTCCCTCCTCATTTCTGGAGAAGGGTCCCAACCCGAAATGTCAATTTTCCTGCTCCTCTGATGCTGCCTGGCCTGCTGTGTTCCTCCAGCTCCATACTGTATTATCTATAACCATACCTCCTATGTTCACATCTAAGTAATTTATATGAATGACAAAAAGCAGTGGACCCAGCACCAATCCTTGTGGCACACCACAGGTCACAGGCCTCCAGTCTGAAAAGCAATTCTCCACCAACACCCTCTATTTTCTACCTTTGAGTCAAATGGCGAGTTCTCCCTGTATTCAATGTAATCTAACCTTGCTAACAAGTCTACCATGAGGAACCTTGTCACACACCTTACTGAAGTCCATACAGATCACATCCACCGCTCTTCCCTCATCAATCCTCTTCACTACTTCTTCAAAAAACTCAATCAAGTTAGTGAGACATGATTTCCCATGGACATGTTGACTATCCCTAATCAGTCCTTGCCTTTCCAAATACATGTAAATTCTGTCCCTCAGGATTTCCTCCAACAACTTGCCCACCACTGATGCCAGGCTCACCAGTCTATAGTTCCCTGGCTTTTCCTTACCACCTTTCTTAAATAGTAGCACCACGTTAGCCAACCTTCAGTCTTCTGTCACTTTACCTGTGGCTATCGATGAAATAAATATTTCAGCAAGGGGCCCAGCAATCACTTCCCTCACTTCCTACAGAGTTCTAGGGTACACCTGATCAGGTCCCGGGGATTTATCCACCCTTATGCCTTTTAAGCCGTCCAGCACCTCTTCCTCTGTAATATGGACATTTTGTAAGATGTCGCTACTTATTTCCCCTGTTTTATATCTTCCATATCCTTCTGCACAGCAAACACTGATGCAAATTACTCATTTAGTATCTCCCCAGTCTCCTGCAGTTCAACACGTAGACAGCCCTGCTGATCTTTAAGGGACTCTATTCTCTCCCTACTTACCCTTTTGTCCCTAATGTATTTATAAAATCCCTTTGGATTCTACTTAACGCTAGCATGCAATAGACATTTGCTTTACCTTTTGATCCTCTTTTCAAACTCATTCAGGCCTGCCCAGTTCTAATGCCTTACAGAGTATTTGTCAGATATGGGCTGGCTTTGCACTACATGCAGGAAGAGATATTGACTAGGGTTGTAGCAGAGCAAGGGGACCAGCACTCTGCACAGTATCCCTGACAAGGGAATGTTTGTTAGTTCTACTCTAACTTAACGAAGCTGTGCAGAGTGACCTTTACTCAGATTGATCACCAACTGGTCAAAAGTGGAAACTGTTCCATTCTTTAGAACTGAAAGATGCAACATGGTAGGCAAACATCTCATTTTAACAAAATTGTCACTGATCTAACCAATTGTGTGAGTGGAATATAGTATTACATATTTTAATGTCAGCATTTTTATAATGAATCATTTATTGGAAATTTATCAAAAAAATTGGCATCAACTTAACTTTAAATTCATAGCTTTTCATTCAACCTATGTAAAATGGAAGCAGGTTAGAGAGTGGGAATTCCATGGTGGGTAATTTGTCTCCTGTTACCTCATTGCCTGTTCACCATCTGCAGGGCATGGTTCAGGGGTGTGTGGGCATGTCCTTCTCTTGCCTGTATGCGTACAGCTCCGGGGACTTGGCACATATAGAACATAGAACATAGAACATTACAGCGCAGTACAGGCCCTTCGGCTCTCGATGTTGCGCCGACCTGTGAAACCAATCTGAAGCCCATCTAACCTAAACTATTCCATTATCATCCATATGTTTATCCAATGACCATTTAAATGCCCTTAAAGTGGGCGAGTCTACTACTTTTGCAGGCAGGGCATTCCACGCCCTTACTACTCTCTGAGTAAAGAACCTACCTCTGACATCTGTCCTATATCTATCACCCCTCAATTTAAAGCTATGTCCCCTCGTGCTAGCCATCACCATCTGAGGAAAAAGGCTCCCACTGTCCACCCTATCTAATCCTCTGATCATCTTGTATATCTCTATCAAGTCACCTCTTAGCCTTCTTCTCTCTAACGAAAACAGCCTCAAAACCCTCAGCCTTTCCTCATAAGACCTTCCCTCCATACCAGGCAACATCTTGGTAAATCTCCTCTGCACCCTTTCCAATGCTTCCACATCCTTCCTATAATGCGGTGACCAGAACTGTACGCAATACTCCAAGTGCGGCCGCACCAGAGTTTTGTACAGCTGCAACATGACCTCATGGCTCCGAAACTCAATCCCTCTACCAATAAAACCTAACATACTGTACGCCTTCTTAACAACGCTATCAACCTGGGTGGCAACTTTCAGTGATCTATGCACATGGACACCGAGATCTTTCTGCTCATCCACACTACCAAGAATCTTACCATTAGCCCAGTACTCTGTATTCCTGTTATTCCTTCCAAAGTGAATCACCTCACACTTTTCCGCATTAAACTCCATTTGCCACCTCTCAGCCCAGCTCTGCAGCTTATCTATGTCCCTCTGTAACCTGCAACATCCTTCCGCACTATCCACAACTCCACCGACTTTGGTGGCATCCGCAAATTTACTATTTGATATTGAATCTGGTAGGATATTGCAAAATGGCGGCTGTGCCAGTTAAGTGATCAAAATTAGTGCATTTCATAGCAGTAAATACATGATGACAATGAGTCTCACACTCTACTGCCCACTGGGGACTCTGCTGATCTGGAGAACTTTGGGTTCCTGGCAGCAGCCTGAG